TCAATTACAGTTCCATTTAATTTGCTAATAGCTTGTGCAGCAGATTCATGTGTGTTCATATTAATATAAGCAATAGAAGTATCATGTGAATTATCTTTATTAATATGGACATTTAAAACCTGGTTTGGGAATTCTTTTAAAACTGTTCCATATAATACTGACTCTGTAACATTAAGTGATAATCCACTAACAAAAATAGTTTTGTTTTCAGCAAAGTCTGAAAAATTACTTTGAGCAGTGGTCATACCAGGTTGGGGAGAATGGTTTTTTCAGGTCATTTTAGGGTTTAAGTGGAGGGTTCACTTTTCTTTTTTTTCTCTCTTTTTTTTATTTTTTCTTTTTTTTATTTTTTATAGTTCTATTTTTTTTTTAAGTTCTCTCTTCCTTCATTATCTTAATCACTGCATTCTATTAATTTTTGTAAAATAAATTAATTGAAATATCTTTAAAATAGTAAAAAAATATAATATAATTTAAATAATTTAAATAAAAATGTAAGGGTTTTTTATAGAATAAAATAGAATTAGAATTATTCTTTATTCAATTATTTTTAAATAAAAAGAAAATAAAAAGAAAATAAATAACATAATTAATTTACAATAAAAAATAGGAAATTGTATCAATAAAATTTAATCAATAATTATTAAAAAAGAATAGTTTTTAAATATTTAATAAATATTAAATAAAATTGTTTATCAATATATTTATTATAATAATTTTAATTATATTATTTAAATAATCAAAATTTTTATTTAATTTTGTTATATTTATTAATTAAAATACATTGATTTTATCGTTTACTTTCTTAAGAGAAATTAAATAATAGTTTTTAAAAAGAAAACCATTATCATGTGTTAAACATAAAAGATTTAAAAATTGATTTAATAAAAACTTATTTAATATAATATTTTATTAATTTAATTTTCTTATATAAATAAATTCTTATCAAAAAACCCTGTTTATTAATATTATTTAATTAAATGAATTAATAACTTCCTTTTTATTATAAAAACAAACAAGTAACTTCTCTTTTATACTTTTATATTGTTTTATGTAATGAAAAGCAATATAAGTTAATCCTTACTTTATGTATTAGAGTTAATATTTTCTTGTTTATTAGTTCTTTTTAATGTCCATTTATTAATTATTTGGTTGTTTGGTGTGTTTTGGTATTTAATCAAAATATACTTTTCATCAATGTTAGTTAAAGCGATGTTCTTTTCTTTCATTTTTTTTAAGTCAAGAATACTTTTTATTGACTGTATTTGTTTTTCAACTACTAATTGTTTAATTATTCTTTACCAAATAAGTTGTTTAATTGTTATCACTTTTGTATGACCTGTTGGCCCATTGTTTAGTCATTTTAATGTAAATAATTCATTAAATGATGAATATGTGAGTTATACAACAAATTTATTAAAAAAATAATTTAAAAATATATTTTAAATAGATGGAAAATAAAAAACAAATCAATTTTTTAAGTCTATTTAAAAGTCAGTTATATTAATCAATGGGGTATTTGGGATTATGTCATTTTCAATAGTATTACAGTCGTTGCTAATCATTTTCTTTAATTCATCAATTCCATTTACCTTTTTCATTCCTCTTAAAAATTTCATTATTTTAACTTCAATTTCTTCTCCATAAAATTCGTCTTTAAATTGTTCGAAGATATGAACTTCTACAACAGTATTTTTTAAACAAAATGTCGGATTTTTTCCAACTGAAATTGCTGCATGATAAATTTTGCCCCTTAACTTAACTTGTCCATAATAAACTCCTTGTTCTAATTCATTCGTTGGATTAATATTGGCTGTCCGATATCCGATAGTTCTTCCTCTTTGAAATCCTTTAACAACTTTCCCTTTAATTGTTATTTGCATTATGGAAGTACTTTAAAAATATTTTTAGTTCATTTCTTTTTCTTTTATTTAAAGAATAGTTTTTTTTCATTTTGAACTTACAACAAACAATACAAAAGTATTATAAATTGGAGTGGAAGTAAATTTTATACTTCATGACTGTACTAATTTTATTACCTCTGCCATTGTGCTTTAATCTACCTGTTCAATATGTAATAAAAAACTATCTTCTCTAAAGTACTAAACAATTAAAATGGTAATTATCATTTGTAATATAACACCTTTCAAATTCTTTAATGTTCATTGTTATTTACCTCTTTTTTTTTTCTTTCTTTCTTTAAACTTAAACCTTTATCAATAATATAAAATTATTCAGTAATGAATTAAAACAAAGGTTGAATAAATTAAAATTATAACCACGTCAAAATACTTAAAACAAAAGTAGTAGTACCTTAGACTTTTTTAAATGGGCGCAACAGCCACTACAACTACAAATTGTGTAGATGATATGATATGTTTTTTTGGTTACTTTTGTATTAAAACATAATGACCAATGTTTAGATGTAATAAAATAAGTATTGGTCTTTGACTATTTCTATCGTCTCTGTTTCTTATTTTTAATACAGTTGAATAGTTAACTCAGTTTTATTTACTCACATGATAATATAAAATGAATAATTTTAAATACTGTGTTGTAGGATATTCATTTATTTACTTGTTATTTGATATAAATTATCATGTTTATAAAAACAAAGGAAGTAACAACTATACCACTACAACTATTATTGAAAAAGAACATTAAAGTACTGATAATATAAGAAGAAAATATTTTAGTTAATGAAATGTGTTTTTTTAAGAGTTTAAAAAGAAAAATATGATAAAATGAATTTATTCAATTCAAAAAAAAAATAAAAAAATAAAAGAATTTAAAAAAAGTAATTTAATAATACAATGAGTATAAGAACTCGATCATTGTTTGATGGTGGAAAAACTTCACCAGTTTCAGCACTATTAGAAATTAATTCAACAAAGATATTATTAGATTGTGGAGTAGATTGTAATTTTACACGTGAAATAATTGAGAAATATGATTCAATTTCAGATATTGATATTGTTTTAATTAGTCATTCAGATTTAAGACATATGGGAGCATTACCGTATATTGCAAATAAAAATCCAAATTGTAGTATTTATACTACAGACCCTGTAGGTAAAATGGGATATCTTTGTATGAAAGAAGCAATAAAAACACAACAGTTAATTGGATATCCATGTTATCGATTAAAAGATGTAGAGCAAACATATAAAAGAATATTTTTATTAGAATATTATAAGTTACAAAAATGTGGAGAAGTAGAAGTATCAGCACATCCAAGTGGAAGAACATTAGGAGGAACAAATTGGAAAATATGTAATGGATGCGATGAAATTATTTATGCAGTTGGAAATGATTTAAATAATGGATTTGTTATAGAAGGAAGTAAAATAATGAAATTTAATAGACCGATGGTATTATTAACAGATATTGGAGGACAAGGGAAGTGTCAAGAAATGCTAAATAATGTTATGATGGAAATAAGAAAAATAGTATTAAGAAAAGGATGTTGTTTACTTCCTGTTGAATGTGGAGGAAGAATAATGGAATATATGGAAATGGTTTATATTTCATGTGATGTTGATATTAATAGAGTAATTAAAGATGCATCATTTTATTGTATTTCAAGTGTAGCTGATCAAATTAAAGAAATGAATAAAACGATAATGGAATGGGTTCGTGATGGGACTGATATTACTAATTTTAAAAACATATCATTTCAAGATAATTTAGAAAAATTAAAAAGAGATCTTGATGCAAGAAAGC